TGTGAAATGATGTATGGGCACAGATCACGTGGATTTCACGATAATCTGATTTCACGATAATCCGCGACAATTATTAATAACATTACTATTATATTTTAAGGCTAATATAAAATAAAAAATTATTTTTATAAAAAAATATAAGTTTTAATATAATATAAAATTTATAATTCAATTTTGCAAAATTTACATAGTAAAAACATAGTAAAATTTTAAGATTTTAAAATTGTTAAAATCTAAAGTTTTAATAATAAATAATTTTAATTTTATATAATTAGAAAATTTAATATTTATATTTAAAAGGTATAATTTTCATCTGTGTCAAAAAAAATTGAGTTTTTTTCTAATAAAGAAATTTTCTAAAAAAGATTTATATATATTTTATTATAAAATTGATCTTTGAGCATTATTTTTAGTAACTACTATACATATATATATTAATTTCTATATATATATAGATAACTATAAAGTACCAATATGTATTTACAAAATAATTTACAAATTACTTTATTTTTCATTTTTATTAAATATTTGTGCCACTAAGCTTGCAGAATTATAATCAAGATTGCCTGAACTGAACTATTGAGTTGCTGTATTTAACATTTTGCCTTGATTTTTAATAAATAAATTATTATTTCTAATAAAAGCTGGGTTTGAAATATCAACAATTTCCTTAATTAATATTTTATTATCATTAATTTCTTCTAGTTGCATGTTGCAAGATTCAAAAATTGAACTAAATGAATTAAAAAAATTTTTGATAGTAAATTCTAACTGGCTAGCATTAATAGTTGTTCTATTTACATTATCTCTTAAATTATATTCTAATAATTCTTGTTTAATATTTATGTAACAGAAAGTTTGAATCTAAGCTATTGCTTCTAATTAAAATAAATTTAGTCTTGTTCTTCAATCTCTAAACAATATTTGAGCATTGAAAAGTTTTTCATATACAGCCTATAATAGTGGAATAGAAAATATCTTAATTATAAATTCTAATAATAGATCTTTTTGTGCATCAATATTAAGCAACCACTTTAATAATAATTTTTTTTCTTTTTTAAATAGTTGAATATAGGTTTTTTATTGCATTTATATATATAAAGTTTAGTTAACAGATCTTTATAAGATGCTTTATTGCAATTCAAATCTTGCTATATACTAGCAGTGGTTTTACAAATTTTATAAAATTAATCTTATTTTAGCATAATACCTAAATAAAAATATATTACAAAGTATAAATAAATAATTTATTAAAGAACATTTCTAATTTACACCACAGGTGATTATCACCTATAGTAAAATTATCTTAAAATTTTGCTTATGAAACCACTTTTAAGGCTTTAAGTAAAAAAATTTCTTGTGAAATTTTACTATAAACTTTACTAAACTCTAACCCTAATATGAGCTTTAACCCTTACCCTAAAGTCTCAAAAAAAACAAATTTTTATTTATTAAATTGTTTATTTATTTGTTTATATTATGTGAAATTATATACTGTAAATCACAGGTGAGTGGTATACATTAGTTATTTTCTTTATTAAATTATATATTTATTTTTTTTATTTTTAATTTTTTTTTAATCTTTGCAATGTCATATAAAAATGAATTTTTATTAAGTATTTTAAATAGTACATTCTTGGTTAATGAAAGTACAATTAATTATATATATGACTTTTGGTTACTTATTTAAGTAGTCAATCTAAAGATTCTATACTAAATGCCTTATCTGTAACCCAACTAGAAGATTACTTATTTAAACTCTCTGATGTCTCTAGTTCTGTATCACCCACCACAATTACAC